TGTTTTTTTCTTTCATTCATTTAAAGATTATTTTACTTAAATATTTTCTTTGAATATATGTATACATTTTGTTTGTGAATGGTCGATAACGTATTTATGGTTGAAAATTAAAAAATGTCGAACAAAATTTTGATGAATAAGGACAGAGAAGTTCACCCAAATGTAAAATAACACAACATATGTACCTGCCCGCATTTAGTCACATTAAGCATAAATACCTCCTCGTTTTATCTCTTAAATATATATTAAGACAATAATAATACATAAAATAAATATACTTAATAAAAATCTAATATTATTGAGATGCTAAAATATATAATATTTATTATCTAAAATATATCTTAGTAAATTTATAATTTATTATTTAAAATATCTTGATAAATGTTTATAAATAGATTATTTTATTTTTTATATATCACTTCAAAGAATGATTTTGGCAGTAAGGAAAAAGAAAAGAAAAAGAAAATGAAAGAATAAAATATTTTTGTTTATTTAAGAGAAAAATAACATGAAAAATAAGGAAAGCTTTATTTCAAAAATAATAAATAATTAAATTAAAAATAAATATTTATTTAATTATAAAATTACTCATATAATTAGTAATTATTTTTTAATTAATAAAATAGTTTTTTAATTAGTACCTTTGAATTAATATTTATTTTTTAATAATATATACTTTGATATATATTTATAAAATATTTTTAATTATAAAATTATATTTTTTTCTAAAATTATTTGAGTTTAAATTAATAAAATAATATCAAACCAAAAATATAAAAAATACATTAAACTACTCATTTGATTTTGTTATAATCACTCTCACTTTTATGATATTTTATTAATATATATATATATATATATATTAAAATTAAAATTATAAAAATAAATAATAATTTATTTGAGTAATGATAATGTTATAAAATAATGTTTTCTTTCACTTTTCACTCTTTTCAACTTATATATATATATATATATATATATATATATATATATATATATATATATATATATATATTAAGTGAAAGTAAACATATAAAGTGACACATTTATTTCAACTTTTCTTATTATCGAACATGAGAAATATTTACTTTTATTATATTTGCCTGTATTAATCACTTTTCATTCCATTTTCTATGCACATGACAGTCTTAAAAGACTTTTATAATACTATCTTCATTTTTTTTATATTAAGTATTAAAGTGTTTTTTGTCTTTTTTTAATATTAAATAAATTTAGGAATAAATCGTAAAACTGAAGAATTTCTATAATTTTCTACCCATAACAATATATAAATATTATAATATATATGATTTATCCTAATGAAATATACCGTAAAACATGAATATTTATAAATAAAAATATAATAACAAAATATACAAAATAACTTTTAAAAAAGTTTAGATGTAATAATTCATATTTATTGGACTATATTAAAAAAATATTAAAATTTTTATATTTAAAAATATTTTTGTAGTTTATGAGAGAATTTTTTATATAAGTTACTTTTATCTCTCTTTTGAAAATTAGACCAAACCGATTGAATTATAAATCAATCTATTACTTTTAAATAATTATATTTAAATTAAATCAAGACAAAATTTAAAAAAAAAGGATAAAATCAGTAAAATTAGAAAAATTAATAAAATTTTTGGGTTTAGTAAAAAAATATTTAGAATAAAATTATTTTAATATAATATTTTTTTATAAAAAATGTAATTATTTTTTTATCTTATATTATATCCAATATTAAATAATAATTATTTTATTATATTTTAATAATTATTATTTTTCATTTTTTAATATATTTTATATTTATAATCATGATAATTTTCCTTTCTTTAAATAAAAAATAATGTTATTAATAAACTCATTATATATTTATTATATTATAAAAAAATTATTTTATTAAATCAGTTTTTAAATCTCCACCCATTTAAATAGCCATTCGATTTTAAAAATGTTGAATTTCACGTCTACTATTAAATGAGATGTACGAATTAAATAAAACATAATATTATTACATATTCTATCATATAAAAATGACGTAAAAAGTAAGTGAGACATCGCAGAGGAAAGAAAACACATCCATTCTTAACTAAAAGTAAGATTTAAAACTAATAATAATGAAATGAAAATTAAAAATTCAAATGTAGAGGAATTTTGTTGAATGAGTGGTGGTGGTGCAGTGGAAAAGGTCCCACAGAAATAAAGACATGTATGGCTCCTGTCCCTTCCCCTTTGTGACTTCCTTCCACGCTCTCTGTGTTTATGTGCGCATGGCAGACACAAACAAGGAACTTTCAACCTTCTTAGTTTCAGAGTGCTACCACACTTTTCAAAGTCCAAAACTATTGAATTTTTCACTTCTCCTCTCAATTTATCAAACTCTCTAATTAATTTCTGCTTTTGCTCTTTGTCAAAGTCGTAGGTGTGACCTTCATTGAGTAGCAGTTTTTTCTAATGGGACAAAACTTATCTATATATGTTTTCTGAATCATTCTTTTGTTAATTTTTTTCTTCTTTGTTCATCCATGTTTCTTTGTATTGCATGAGTTGTGTTCGTCAACCTTTAATTTTGATAAAAAATAATATAAAAATTAGAAAACAGTGTTTAAGTTTGAGAAAATGGGTTATATATATATAATAATGATGTAAACTAGTTTTTTATTTTATCCCATCACAAAATGTATTATTACTTTTTAAGGATGTATCATTATTAACTTGTGAGTAACTTTTAATTGATGGATAAAGTAAAAGTTTTACATTTTCGTGTGATCATTAAACTTTTTTAATTTTTTAATTTTATTTTTCTTGATATTATTTTTCTTATAACATTATCTATTTTATTTATGATGAAATCTTCTTTGTGAAATCTCATATTAGGAACATATCAAATAAATATAGAATATAATTTTCATTTTATTGAATAGGTTTTATAAAATTAGAGTAAATTTTTTTCTTTTTTAAGATGTTATCGGAGTTACTCTTGCACTATTAAAAAAAACGAAAAATCTAAGTTAAGAATTTGATGAAATCTCACATTATATTATAATATATACATAAATATAACAATAAAACTTTATTGTAGAAATTAAATTAGGTATATTTTAATTTTTTAAAATTTATCTTTTTTTTCACTTAATATGATAATATAATATGTGTATTGCTAACAGCATGAAAAAGGAAGAGGTATGTATTGTGTTTATTGTTTTACATTTATAAAATTAATTATAGCATAAAAATTATAAATTTTTTATTTGAGAAAAATTGTAAAAAAAAATAACTTTTTTTATTTTATGTAAATATTCATTTACTACTCACGTCTGCTTATCTAAATAAGTATATACAAATTATAAGCATTAGAGACTTTATAAGAAAAACATATTTTTCAAAAATGAAAGTTTGAAAAAACTATGGTTTTAAGAATTTTCATCTTTTAGTTTTTCTATTCCTAAATTATTAATCAAATTTAAAATTTTAAAAGAGAAATTTCTAATTTTAAAGTAACTTTAAAATTAAAAAAAAAAATCACTTTAAAACTCGAAACAAAGCGAGAGTAAATATACCACTAAATCATAAGTTTGTGAAAATGCATGAATATAGTTTTAGTGTTTCCCTTGTCATATTTTGAGATTATGAAGAATATTTCAGGTATGTAAAAGGGTATTCAAATTCAAGTGCAGAAAAAAAGTTTTTTGACGAAATAATAAATTAGATGAAAGTGAAATTAGACTATAGTCTTGTTCCATCTTGGGCAACAAGAAAAAAAAAAACTAAGTTATATAAAAAAAATGGTTAATTTAGTCACTAATAATAAATTATTTTTTTCTAAAAATATTTTCATTAATACTCTTATCTCTTCTAAATGTTTATAGATAGTATATATTTCAGTATAAAAAGAACTAATACAACAAATAAATAAATAAATTTTACATTTTATTTATTATGATCATGAATAGAAATACATGATTAAAATTTAACGTATTTATTAATTTTAAAATATAAATATTTATCTTAATGGTTAGAGATTGTTGAAAGTCTCACATTTCCTACCTCATGTCATTTGATATGATTTAAATATATGTTAGGTTACTCCATATATTGTCAATTTGTTTTATGTTGGAACCTTAATATGGTATCGAACCAAAGCTCTAACATCTTTCCAGGTTATTGGTCCGACGAGACTTCATTGGAGGGTGTATTGAAAGTCCACATTCGCTCTACCTACATGTCATTTAGTATGGTTTAAATATATGTTAGACTACTCCACATATTAACCTTAACGAGAGATAAACAAACATGAAAAAAGATTTTTTAAAGGAGAAAAAATAAAAATAATTTAAAGAATAAGAAAGAAATAAGAATTTTTAATTATTTATTTATATTTGATAAAAAAATGAAGAAAAACATGTGATTTAAAGAAAAGGAAAGATTAATTTTATTATTTTATTTATATCCGAGAGAAGTGAAATAAAATATGATTCGAAAAGTATAGGAAGGAGAAAATATAAGATAAATAGTTTATTATATAATGATAAAAAGAAACTCAGTATAAATAATAATTATGTTTTTGTTGAGCGTGGAATGGTCACCTTACAAAGCCAAATGATGCATAATGGAGGTCTGTGTCATTTATGATTCAAACCAGGAAATATAGGAGCAATTATTGGCAGCTTCTATGACAGAGGGAAGAAAAGTATTTGAAGGGAAGAGATCCATTCTATGCATTAAATAATTTACAAGTCCTCAATGGTGACTTTAAATTAAACAATAGAACCAGTCTCAACCAAAACATCATGAGGCACAAGTCAGAGCTCATGACTTGACCTGCATGAAAAAACCTCTTCGTTTATCCTTGGACTCTCTTCACACTATAATAATGGAAAGAAGGTTCTCCACTTCATTGAAATTGCTTCACCCCTTTTTTCTTCTCCCTTTCATTAGCATCACAAACTCACACACACAAAGAGAATCAGATAGATAGATAGAGAGAGGATAAGATGGGTGTGAACGAAAATTTCAACAGGGATGATCATCAGGAGTGTGTGGATGATGATGAAATTCCACTTCCTGGATTTCGATTCCACCCCACAGATGAAGAGCTTGTTAGTTTCTATCTTCGAAGGAAGCTTGACAAGAAACCCATCAGCATCGAGCTCATCAAACAGATTGATATTTACAAATACGATCCTTGGGATCTTCCAAGTATATGTTTCTGCTCTAAATTGCATCTACCCTTTTAATTTCTTCATCTTCTTCTGTTTCTCTTAAACCTCTAGAAGATTTTCTTACAAAATGAATTTCATATCAAGGAATAAGAGTAGGGTTTTCATCCAACACACTCCGACAAGAATAAATGATGACCATACAATTATGGCTAGCTTGGTCACCATGATCAATAGAACTTCTATAAGTTTGTATGATCACACTTACATGCATACATAAGTTCGATTAAGATGGTTAAACATAAGCAGCGTATTATAGGCCTCACTATAAAGAAGATAAACTATGATTCATTTTGGGGGCTGATGAAATTATACACTGACATGAGTCCTTAATTATATATATATATATATATATATATATATATATATATATATATATATATATATATATATATATATATATATCAAACAAATTAAGTATTTGTCATTGTTATTTAGCATTACTTTTGTAAGAAGAATTATATGAAGCGAATATGATAGAATCAATAACTTAAACAATTTTAAGAATCATAATAAAACTATTCAAAACTTCAAATATTCTAATGAATTAACCGACTTCTCAGCCTAGTGCAACTTTCTTTCCTTTTTTTTTTCTTTCTTCTACCCTTATTCTTCTTTTTCATTATTGCCAAATGTATGTTAATTACTCCATGTTCCAACATACGCAGAAACCAGTGCCACTGGAGGAGAGAAGGAGGGGTACTTCTTCTGCAGAAGAGGGAGGAAGTATAGGAATAGCATAAGGCCTAACAGAGTCACTGGCTCTGGGTTCTGGAAAGCAACTGGCATAGACAAGCCAGTGTACTCACATGGAGGAGAAGGCAATGACTGCATTGGACTCAAAAAAACTCTAGTGTACTACCGTGGCAGTGCAGGCAAAGGCACCAAAACTGATTGGATGATGCACGAGTTTCGCCTTCCATCTAACACTGACACCAACACAAACCTTCCCAACTCCAGGAATTATGTAGATGTTCCCCAAGAAGCTGTAAGAAATTTACATATACATATATAGAGAGAGTAGCCCCTTGTTTTGAATACATTATTTCTCACTTAACCTTAGCAGAAAAAATGATTTTTGGTTCCTACAGCGTTTGTTTCTCAAATTTAGTATTGTGTTGTCTACTTTATTTCTCACAACAATCTTTTCATACGTTATTAATTGGTCACTTAGTCTTAGCAGAAACTCTTAACAGTTTTCATACAATATGCAGGAAATTTGGACATTGTGTAGAATTTTCAAGAGAAATGTGTCACAGAAGAAGCACATGCCAGACTTTAAACACGTATCAGCTAAGCGCCATGCCTTTCATGAAAAGAGCTCCAGAATGAGCAATGTGGAGTTTGACAGTGCTAATCAAGAATCATACATAAACTTCGGTGGCCACTATCACATTGAGCAGAAACCCGCCATCAACTACACAAACACTGACCAAAGGAATCAGTTTCATGTGATGAGTCAGTTGTGTTCTCCAGTGGCACAACAGCAACCTCAACTAACTGCACCATCTTCTAACCTTTGGACTAACCCACCTGGGAACGATTTCTTCACATTCGATAACTGGGATGAACTTGGATCCGTAGTGAAGTTTGCTGTTGATTCGCCTAGCATGTAGATAAAGATGTGAAATTCATGTTAAGTTGATCGTAGTTAATTAGATGCTAGCATGAAATATGTATCATAAGAGTGCGTTTACATGCATTAGAGATTATTCATGCTTGATCATGATGACTTTCAGTGACAAACTTGTTGACATATGATATGATATGAATATGCTCTACTTATAATCCATCTATTTTTCTTTGTTGTGTATAAATATTAATCTTACTTAATTTGATTTTATTCAAAGATGTTAATTTATAATTTACTAATTGGGTTTTAAAAGTTAGCCTTTGGAGAAGTGTATATTCATCTTTAAAAGTCCATACAAATGAAGCTCAATGTTAAGCAAAAAGGAACAATTAAATTTAATTCAACATCACAAAATCTTTATAAATTATAATTTAATTATATTTCTAATATGATTATTGAATGTTGAGACCATTGAAATGTCACTTGCAGTATGCATGTTGTTTAATTAATTTATGAATAACACAGTGAGAAGGGTTAAGTATATTGCAAACTGTTAATTTCTAGTCTCTTTCATCTAATGGCTTTCACTAATCACTCACAATTTGTAAGTAAATAATGAATTTTAATTCATTTGAATAATTCTATCAGAATTAGTTTATTCAAAAGTAGTCCGTTGATATTCAACTCATTTATAAATCTTGATTTCTAGAAGAAAAGCAAAGCCATCAGCTTAAATTACACATTGAAAAATAAGAATGTAGTTTTAAAAGTAATGTTTGTATAATTCCAACTAGACGCATCTTGTATAATATATTCGTATATTCGTATACAGTAATCATGTTGTTTCAGGTGAAAATTTGATCGATTTCGGTTCCTAAGAGATTTTGGTTCTAACCAAATTTCAACCATGTAGATTCTTTTACTTAGGCTACCAAATAGTTTTCAATCGAAAATATGTATGAGAATCGAAAATGCTATAATATCGAGAATTGTTAACAACGCAACCTATCATACAGATTGACAATCGAAAGTATTATTTTTTGTATTTTTTATTAAGACATGCGAAGTAAAGAAAACAGTAAAAATATATATTCCTAGAAGAGGTAGCAAAATCTCACCAAAAGGTGATGGAGTCAAAATCTTGACTCGGTCGATATGGACAAGCCAGGGAGGAAGAAGATTTTGAGGGAGATTTCGATAAGGAAAGTAGGACAGTCTCGATATCGAGATATCTTTGTTTTTGGATTTGGGATAAAGAGTTTCGTGCAGGGATCTCAATTCTCGAACCCATTTGGGATGAGTTAAAGGTTTGGCGATCCCAAAGGGTGCTGTAGGAAAAATGGGAAGGTGATCGAGACAATACATTTCAAATGGGGTTTTGCCTCGAGGGTTGATTATTTTGTGGTTTGATCGGTTAGTGTCTGTTTTATTGACTAAGGAAATAACAGCATCATAGAAGGTCGATTCTAATTTCAAGGGGTTGTAGCATACTCGATAAAAATTTTCGAATCGAGATATTTGGAGATAGTGAGAGTATGTACATTTCTTCGCCTTCGACTTGTCCTGCAACACGAGAGAAGGATGAACAGTCAATTTTGATTGGACTATGTCAAAATCAGAATGATTATTTGAAAACCAATCGGTCCACCATTGAGAGAAACCAAGAGTAGATAAATAATTGGATTTAAAAATATAAGGGTAAAAATGCATCGGGTTTTTTGGCAGCAGTTTGGCAAGCTCCCGTCCAACAGTCGATTCACTTAATTTGGACCTTGAGGAGGTATCGAGGGGAAAAAAGGGTAAGGCTTGACTCAAACCAAATTTCCGCGAGAAAAGCTGGGGGTAATAAGTGATGAGTTGAAGATCCTTCGATTGGAAACCCGATACCAGAACATCTTAGGCTAGGTAATTACTCCATACTTCGACCAATTCCGATTGTAGCCCGGGAGTAAGAGCAGGAAATTTCGATCTAAACCATGTTGGCCCTCGAAGTTTGTCACTTATTTGTCCAAGATACACAGTGAAAGGGGCCAAACTCAAATCAAAATGAAAGCGGGTCAACAAAAATTGTAGGTAATTTCGGTAACTAGCCTCGTCGGATTTGTAGTGGGGATGTTGAGAAGATAATCGAGCACCCTCTAAATTCAAACTTGGGGGGATTTTTGAGGTTGGGGGGAAGATACTTTCAAAAATCGAGGTGAGCCATAATTGAATAAACCAAATAGGACCTGAAAAATTCCCTGAGGCTTTTGGGGTATTCAAAATATCGACAACCTCATCAAAAGCAGTATAGACATGGGCTAATAAAAGTTTTGTCTAACAAATCCTAGGTTGGCCAGTGTGAAGGAGATAGGCAAGGTTATAGAGGTGGGATGAAATTTGGATGGATCGGGGGCAGAAGACGTGAGTGCATAACCAATATACCAGGAAAGCTATATGTTCCTCATCAGTTATAGCTACTGATTGATCATCAACGAAGTGCTTTTCGATAAAATGGCCATACGCCTTCGATTCCCAATCGATTTTGGACCTTAAAGAATTATCCGAAGGAAAAGCACCCTTATAGTATTTTTCCCCTGCGGGCTCTAATCCCGTAATCGCAGCGATTTCAAAGAGGGTGGGTGAAAGGGGACCACAAGGAAATTCCAAAGCATGCAAATCTTTATTCCACATATGGACAGCAGACAAAAACATGGTCATATCTAAAAAGGATAAATTACATCGAGACAAATGTAGGAAATCGAAGATCCCTACGTCCCTCCAATGGTTCCCAAACTTAGTTTTAACCCGGTCAAACCACCTAATGTACAAGGGTTTTTTGTGAGGAGGACTTGTTCGATACACTTTGGAGACAATGTTCAGAAAATCAATTCGCACCTCAGGCTTGTGAACAAGAGCTTTACTCTCTGAGAGGCTGAGGGAAGAAGGAAATGATCCGCCACAATAGCGGATAGGACCTCCAAAAGCGTAATTTACATTATCAGCAATGTAAGGAATGAGTACCTGTGTCTCAGCAATCTTTTGAGAAGCTTCTTCCATCAAAGGGACTGGAGCAAATTTCTGTCCATTAATCTCTAGCAGGTTAGAGGTCATTGAGGGAAGTGGTGGGACGGAGAAATCAGAGGATTTAGATGAGGTCGCCATTATAGTCGGTAGAGCAGATGAAGACGAAAGGTAGAAGACGAATGTGCAAAGGAGAAGTGAGTTAAGTTCGTGGTAAAAAACAAGGGTAAAAAGGCTAACAAACGTTTAAAAGAAACCAACTAAGGTATTGGAAGCGACGGAGGTGAAGGGTAATTAATGTGGCGTGTGTAGTGTGACAACAGAGTGATTTGATATGTGACATAAAGCAAAGAAACCCTAGAAAAACCCCAGAAACCCTAAACCCTAAAATTTATTTTGGGCCTCCAAAACGTTTGAAGGCGGGAATAATTTTGTAAGAATATAAAATAAAAATTAATATTTATATTCTTCCAAGGGGGAATTTTGTTAGTAGGAAATCGATAAAGGGATCGAAAAACGAAGGAAAGAAAAAAATTGAGGATCATATGATTGGTTAAAAAATTGATAAAGTGAAAAGATGGTTGGAAAACATTCGATGACCATGTAACAGTATGGACACATAATTAGAATCGAGAATCGAAGGAGGAGTATTTAATATCTATTGTTGAAGAAAATCGAGGAATTAGAATCATGTAATGTTAAGGTTAAGGGGAATCAAAAAAGCAATGCAAAGTTCTCGAGATTTTGAAATCGAAATCGAGGGAAAAGTTAACATAAACGGTCATCGAAATTCTGGCTAAGTTAGAAAGAGAGGAACAATTAACGCGCACATAGAACATGGGAAGCGGTTTCTAAATCGTGGCAGAGATCGAAGGTCAAGGGAGCGGTTATCTCATGCATGAGAACGTGAAATACAGTTTTTTTTAAACCGTGGAACTGAGGGACGTGCATGATGGATCGTGGTGGCAGTTTCGTTAACTACTCTTAGGAGGTTACTTGAAAGGCGCTCTATAAATAGAGCAAAGAATGAAGGAAAGGAGGAAATTGGCAGAGAGAACTGAAACACTAGTGAAAAAGTCTACCGGAGAACGACGAAATCATGAAGTTTCTGGCGATATGAATTTCAATTTTCATTGATTGTCTTTACCGTTTTTTGTACTTTCCCTGATAATTTATGTTCATGTAATTTATTTTGATGCAGTTTACGTTTAAACAACTTTAGGTTTCTGCACTTTCAATTCCTTGTCACTTACTTCTATGCAAGTTAAGGTTATGCGTTTAAGATCCTCGCCACTTACATTTCTGTAATTTCGAGGTTTCCGCATTTTACATTTCTCTGCAATTTAATATTCTGCACTGCTTTTCGATTCAATATTTTTACTGCTTTCTTTACTTCGCGTGTCTTAATAAAAAATACCAAAAATAATATTTTCGATTGTCAATCTGTATGATAGGTTGCGTTGTTAACAATTCTCGATATTATAATATTTTCGATTCTCATACATATTTTCGATTGAAAACTATTTGCTAGCCTAAGTAAAAGAATCTACATGGTTGAAATTTGGTTAGAACCAAAATCTCTTAGGAACCGAAATCGATCAAATTTTCACCTGAAACACATGTAGAAGAAATATCTCGAACTTATTTATTATTATAATTTTTTGATAGAAATATGATATATATATATATATATATATATATATATATATATATAAATAAAAAGTTAGATACATGTATGCACTACAAGAATTTTACATATTAGCTATGACACATTCCATAGCTATTTTATAGCTAATCTCTCGCTGGTATGTTTTGCTACAGATTAGCTACGGAATAGCTATGGAATAGTCCGTAGCTAAATCCAAGTAGCTAATTAGATACAGATGTATTCTCTCTCAAATTTGTAGCAAATTTTGACGCTAAACTGTCGCTAAATCCCTTGCTAATTTAAATAATGAAATTTTGTTTATCCCTAGCTAATGTGATCTCCCAAAACTTGTAGCTAATCCGTAGCTAATCCCTCGCAATTTTTCTCTCGCT